TGAAGTAGGTCAGAGCCTAAATATCCTCTTGGAGATGAGCTGGATCCAAGCAAAAATACCTGGAGATAAAGTGCAATAAAATCAAGGTAGGGTGCTTCCCATCCAAACCTACTGTACACCTATTCCTTCTTCCTGCCCCCATTAATATCTGTCTTTTCCTGTCAACAACCAACAACAGAACAGAAGCAGCAGTGGGGAAATGGTGCACTACAAATGGTAGTCAATGAAGCTCAGATGCTCTGCAAAATTGTTGAGAAAGGGCAATCACCCAGTAAAAGCACCCAAAAAGTCTTGTAGCAGCTCAAAAGGTTTAGGTGGTGGTTGTTAGTCACAAAGTCATGTCCGACCCATCGGGCAACCCCATGGACAACATTCCTCCAGGCCTTCCTGTCCTCCACCATCCCGCGGAGTCCACTTAAGCTCATACTGACTATTTGAGTGACTCCATCTAGCCACCTCATTCTCTGCCGTCCCCTTCTTTTTCTGCCGTCAATTGTTCCCAGCATTAGGCTCTTCTCCAGGGAGTCCTTCCTTCTCATTAGGTGGGCAAAGTATTTGAGTTTTATCTTCAGTATCTGGCCTAAAGAGCAGTCAGGGTTGATCTCCTCTAGGACTGACCGGTTTGATCGCCTTGCTGTCCAAGGAACTCGCAGGAATCTCCTCCAGCACCACAATTCAAAGGCCTCGATCCTTCTGCGCTTAGCCTTCCTTACGGTCCAACTTTCACAGCCATACATTGCAACTGGGAAAACCATAGCCTTGACTATACGCACTTTTGTTGGCAGGGTGATGTCTCTGCTTTTTAGTATGCTGTCTCCATTTGCCATAGCTTTCCTCCCCAGGAGCAAGCGTCTTTTAATTTCTTGGCTGCAGTCCGCTTCTGCAGTGATCTTGGAGCCCAGGAAAATAAAATCTGTCACAACCTCCATTTCTTCCCCATCAATTTGCCAGGAAGTGAGAGGACCAGATGCCATGATCTTAGTTTTCTTAATGTTGAGTTTCAAGCCAGCTTTTGCACTCTCCTCCTTCACCTGCATCAAGAGGCTCTTTAGTTCCTCTTCACTTTCTGCCATTAGAGTGGTATCATCTGCATATCTGAGGTTGTTATTTCTCCAGCAATCTTAATTCCAACTGATGATTCATCTAGCCCTGCCTTTCTCATGATGTGCTCTGCATATAAGTTAAATAGGCAGGGTGACAGTTTACAGCCTTGCTGAACTCCTTCCTCAATTTTGAACCAATCGGGGGTTCTGTGTCCAGTTGTCACTGTTGCTTCTTGACCCGCATATAGGTTTCTCAAGAGACAAATAAGATGGTCTGGTACTCCCATCTCTTTAAGAACTTGCCACAATTTGTTGTGATCCACACGATCAAAGGCTTTAGCATAGTCAATGAAGCAGAAGTAAATGTTTTTCTGGAACTCCCTAGCTTTCTCCATGATCCAGCGTATGTTGGCAATTTGATCTCTAGTTCCTCTCCCTCTTTGAAATCCTGCCTGTACTTCTGGTAGTTCTCGGTCCACATACTGCTGGAGCCTAGCTTGTAGGATTTTGAGCATCACTTTGCTAGCATGTGAAATGAGTGCAATGGTGTGGTAGTTTGCACATTCTTTGGCATTGTCCTTCTTTGGGATTGGAATGTAAACTGACCTTTTCCAATCCTGTGGCCACTGCTGAGTTTTCCAAATTTGCTGGAATGTTGAGTGTAGCACTTTTACTGCATCGTCTTTTAGGATTTTGAATAGCTCAGCTGGAATACTGTCACCTCCACTAGCTTTGTTGTTGCTCAGACCTCCTAAGGCCCATTTGACTTCACATTCCAGGATGTCTGGCTCAAGGTCAGTGTCCACCCCATTGAGTATAGATCTTTACAACATCGGACTCTCCTTTCACCACCAGATACATCCGCGAATGAGTGTCCTTTCGGCTTTGACCCAGTCACTTCCTTCTTTCTGGCGCTACTAGTACTAGCCCTCTGCTCTTCCCCAGTAGCATATTGGACACCTTCCGACCTGAGGGGCTCATCTTCCGGCATCATACCTTTTTGCCTTTTGGTCCTGTCCATGGGGTTTTCACGGCAAAGATACTGGAGTGGGTTGCCATTTCCTTCTCCAGTGGATCACGTTTTGTCAGAGCTCTCTGCTATGACCTGTCCGTCTTGGGTGGCCCTGCACGGTGTAGCTCATAGCTTCATTGAGCTACACAAGCCCCTTCACCATGACAAGGCAGTGATCCATGAAGGGGCAAAAGGTTTAGGGCATTATCCAATTAGGCTACCCATAACTCTACAAATGCAGATTATAAGCACCCAGTGCAGGGCTGCAGGAGCAGGGAAGCAAAGGTCATCTCCATGCTTTTCCAGCTCTGTAAAGCAGCTCATAGATGGCCAGTTTTAACCACCTAACCATGGTGCTTCAGAGGGGGAGGGAAGGCAGCTGAGTCACCACCTAAATACATTGTACCTTAATGATGCCCATCTCAACTCCTCTCTGCTCCTTCAATCCCTTCTCCAAGGTTGCTCTTGTGACCTTGGAAAAGTCGCAAGCATGGTCAGACCAGTTATTCAGCCTCAGATCTGGGAATCTGAATGACCCTGTGACCCTCTAGGTAATGTCTCTGAGTCATAAGATTGCTCTGCTCTTGATTTATTGCAGCATGTGCAATGCGAGTGATGTTACCATCAGCTAACAGGTACACAATTAATGTATATATATTTACTTACTTGGAAGAACAATGGAACCAAATGGTAATGGATGCAACAAGTGCAATCTGTGACCAAATGCAAGTAGCAAAGAACTCAACAACAAACCATTTCAGATCTGATCTTAGTCAGTGTCTTAAATAAACAGCTATTGAATTTCCTATCCTTAAGAAACTGCTTCTAATGTCAGAGAAGGTCCTGCACTCTGCAGAAGTTTCCAGGGCATAGAGTGCTCTCTCAGCATATAAGGGATGCTAGCTAAGCATGAGTGTAATTTTTGTCTTTTTACCTTGAGCAGGTTTTTTTGAAATTACATCACACTCTTTTTGGAGTGCTTAGTCACAGGCAAATCAGTAATAGTGGATTAGCCCTCTTTCCCAGTAATGTATCTGTCATTACTAATCTTTTCAAATAATCTCTGATACACTCCTGCAGAATTCCAGGGTTGCTAGTAATATAATGAAACTCACTGTGATTATACCCACTGTAGCAGAGCTATAGGAAGCTTCCTTGCCCCATTTTTTCTATTAATGTAGTTTGTTAAAAGGTCAATCCCCAAACAGAAAGCCACACTCTTAAGAATTTTTATAGGCATTCACCTTGCCTGTTGTGTTACAAGCCTTTCCCCCTACTGGAATACCTCTATGTTTCAGAGCTGAGTGTCAAGTAGAAACAGCAGGTGAAGATTTACCTACTTTGAAGGTGCAATAATGGCAACTGCTTCAGTTGCTAAATGTATACAGGTGTTAAAGAATAAAGTTCTGTGGGGGGCATACTTAGCCATATACACTTGCAGAATGGGGAAGCTTTGAGTAAAGAATGCATGTCTTCATGTGTTGGAAAGTATTTAGGTAACATCTAGGGAACCTGTAATTGCAGCATAAACTACAATTGTGTGCATTTTCTTGAAAAAATGGTTCCCAACTTTTTAAAAAGCTCCTGTTCTTGTGCCTTTAAAGGTAACTTAATCTGCAAATTTCAGAGACTGGAAATACTATTCTCCATGAGGTAAAAGCCTTAATCTGCTGATTTCTGCAAATCAAGCTGCTTTTAAATAGTTCCCTGCTGGAGTTTATTTACAGTAAATATACATAGAACTGAGCAGGGTAAGGCTTTTTAGTGAGAAATGGAAAAGTTGTAACAAACTTTTCATTAACTCTTCCCCAGCCTGCTCCCATACAAAGGCTATTGCAGGCATGTTCCTTATGCAAATAAACTGAATTCACACAAACCAAACTACCCCAGAAACCATGAGCTGATACTATCTGTCTGAAAGGAAGGAAACTGTCGTTATTAGGCACCCTAAGTGCCACTTTTTGGAAAAAGGTGGGCTGTAAATAAAATAAATACAAGCAAACAAGTCTTGATTTAAAAGTCTGAGCATCCTTACCTGGGGGGCGGTGGGGGGAAGAAATCTAGCAAATCTAATGATATCATCAACACTCATACAGCTTTGGCCACTCTATTAAAAGTCTGTTGTTTCGGTGTGTTTATTTTTAGCCCTGAGGTTTTCCATGGCATAACTTCAAGCCTTACAAACTTTCCAGCAGATGTTGCTCGGGGGACAGGCCACTGTGCACAGACATTAGAAACTGTCCCCTGCAACCCAGCCTTTGGGTAGCTGACCTCTGCTTCACCCTGAGGACTGTCTTTTCACCTCAGCGGCATTTTCCAGACTTGCAATCCCTGCAGCTTGAAAAGTGATATGGCAGCCCATCCATTCCCCCATCCCCATTTAATGTTGCGAATTCATCAGCCAATTCCTTTATTATGAACACTGCTAATTGCAGAACTGTTGGGAAAAGCGGCTGTGATGTTGAACGCCATCACGAAGTAGGTTCACCAGCACAGAACACTCGGGATAGCTCATACAGAGCTCAGAATAGAATGCAATGGATAAGGAGCCCTATCGACATAAGAATTACTAGCCTCACCAAGTAGCGTTTACAAGTAGAAGGTCCCAGGTTCGATCCCTGGTATCTCTACAGGGGACTTAAAAAAAAAAAAAAAGCTTGCCTGCAGAGCCATTGCTGCCTTCCAGTGTCGACAGTAAGGGCTAGAAGGACCTATAATCATCTGTCCCCCTATCCTCAGTGCTAATGGCTCAGACCAGATACTCCCTCGCACTCGGAACAATGGTTCGCTCTGGCATTTCTTGAGTCTCCCGATTACCCTCTTCCTCCCTCTCTTGCCCGTTGGGATCGACCACTAGAGCAACGTTCGAATTCGCTCAGCGGCCCCTTCTCCGCCTTTCTCGACGACGGAAGTAACGCCTCCTTGGAGGCCAGGGCTTCCGGTGCGCAGGCCACAGTGGCCCGGCTAGAGATGAGGGAGTCTGCAGGGGGGTGATTTTCTTCCTCGCCTTTTCCAACTCCCGAACTTCCTCTCTGGCTTCACTCACCGCCTCGGTAGTAGTCGCCTTCCCCGTGCGGGCCGAGGTGGCAGCAGCAGCCTCCACACCGTTTTACCCTCGCTGTAGGTGAGTACGGGGCTGGAGGAGCCGGGCCTTGTTTACACTGAGGAGCGCGTAGAGAACGACGTTCTGCTGAGGCCAGGATAGCTGTGGCTCAGTGTCGGGGCGGGGGCAGTCGGCAGGAGGGCGGGGGCGCCTCGCTGGCGTTTTTCTTAGGAAGTCCCCTCCCTTGGTGTGGGGCAAAAAAGGCGAGAGGCACTGGCGTTCTTCGGAGCTGGTGTGTGGGTCGAGTATTGGAGTTCGGAGGTGGGTGGTGTGGCCTCGGGTTTGCCCGCATATCCTACTCTCGACTGTGGAACTTGGACAGCTCTCTGCCTCTCAACTTAGACAAATGACTCAAGAGAAGTCTGTATACGCTGCTCTAGCTTCTTAAGAGGAAAATAAATATTTGCGGGTGGTAGGTGGAAAAGATTAATTGTGAAATACCGGTGCTCTAATCGTGCACTGGCTCTACTTGCACGTGAAAAGACTGTCACCACTATTGGAATCCGAGCAACCTGGTATTTTAGTTAAGCGGGTTTCTGAAAAACTCTTACTATTGTTTTTCAAAATTGATGTAACCTGCGCTAAAAATAAAGTGAAATACGAACGTGGGTGCTACTTAGAAGATATGTAGACAATTAATATGATGCTGGAGGGTAAAGAATAGGGGTTGACAAATAATTACCAGCTACAGTAGCTTAGGGATGGGTGTGGAGCTGAAATGTTGAGCTTTATCCAGCTATTCTGTATGTGCAAGCAGGATTTGTATTGAGGCATAGAAGACATCCCTAGCAGGAAGTGTATGCCCTTCCAGATGTGCTTTAAGGGTTAATATGACCAAAGTTCAAGTGTAAAGATTCCAAGTTCTTTTGGAGAGCTTTCCTGTTGGAGCCTGGTTAACTGCCATTTAGAGACTCACTGTTACTTTTCCTAAGTCACTGATCCATTTGTATTTGCAACATGTGTTGATGTCTAGGTAAGTGAATGGATAGGTATGGAGTGGACTGCTTTGCTTCCTTTAGGTATCTGAAGTAAAACGAAATGGCTTTGAACTAGTGAGGAATACTTTTTATAATAAATCAACTTTGTTTATAAAGAATCATGCTGTTAGAATTTTTCTGCAAACATTTCTTACAATAGATTTGTTTTCAGTCTTACGATAGCAAGTTATCTCAAGGTAAGTATAGTATTTGTGGCAGCTGGGTCTCATGAAAAAGTATGACACTTTCAAAATTGGGTATCTTGTTAAATAAATTGAGCATTGGTAAATAGGCACCTCCATAACATAAGAATAGGCTTAAACTAAGCTGAAATAAGTAGTCTAGCTCAAATTGGTTTTTACTTGTGGAAAGGGCATTTGCTTATTTAAAGCATTTCCTCCTGTCCTTAATGAAAAGGCTTTCAGAGTGGCCTATATTAGATTACATTATTTCATTGCATGAACATTGTGTAAACAAGCCAAAGAATGTTTTCTTGTACTCTTCTCCCATAATGAAGCTTACAGTCATATTGTTTAACATTTCACTATTTTTGAGAAGATCCAGATTTCTGTTCTAAAAGTGATATAAAGCTACTTTTCTAATTTGGCAATGGGGGATGACTACCTGAATGCTTTGGCATGCTAAGGTTAGGGTTCTGCATATCTGGGCTTAGCACAGATTTGACATATTTTCTGTTGAGTTAATCTCGCTTGACAGGGTTGTGTCAAAACATCTAAATGTCACCTTCCAGAAAAGAAATCATTCTACATTTGTTTAATTACTTGAATGTACAGTGTCAAAATAGTACTTATAATTATTATAATTCAATAATTATAATTATTGAATTATTGAAAATATTCAATAATACATTTTCCTAATACCCTTTCATAATATTTGCTTATGTTTCATGAGTGTTTTAGCAAATTGGTGTTATTTATTATTATTTGATTGGGGGTGGGACTTATTAATGAGTTTTTACATTCTTTGCTGAATAGAAGTGTTCTGAAGAGACATGGTGGTTACATTTACACTTCAGGGATATCTTGGATTGATTAATGCTTGAAAAACTTTGCATCCCAGTTACAAACCACAGCTTCATTTCTCTTGTCCATCCTAGCTGCTTTCCCTTAGCTTATTAGGGAAGGTTACACCTTTGTTAGTTCAAATAAACATTTCTAAAATTGAGAACTGTAGTCTTCGAGCTGCAATTTTCAGATCTGCTGGGCCCCACCACTCGTCTCTTTCACTCTAATGTTTGTTTTCTTTATGATCATTTTTTTAGAAATTAGATTTTTACTGAGTTACATGAGTATTTCAAATGAACAAGGGTATTGTTGATTCTTGCACGACTGGGTGGGAGGCTAGTAAAACTTTATCATTGAATTATTTTTTAATAAGTTTTATTCTTAATATACCTAACAAAAAGGAACTAAGAAGCATCAGTCATCGAAAACATCAGACCTACTGGCTCAGCCCCCCACATTTTTTCTTTTTATGTTAAACTAGTAGTTTATCATTGAATTATTGTATGTCTTTGATATGTATTCAGCTTAAAGTGCATTCCTTTAATTGAAATATGTTCAAACTCAGTGTTCCACTTGCCCAGCTGTGCAATTTTAACAGGAGATAAGGTTGCAAAACTAAAATACAAGAAAAATAACTTTTACAGCAAGCAGAATTTGCCTTAATTTGTTTATGATAAGCATATTGGAAAAATGGTGAACATCCTGGGAATGTTCTGACGCAGTTTGTTAAATAGGAAAAACATTGAAGTATTATTTTAAAGGAGTGATACAATACCTACCCCTGAACATAAACATACCATTTAATTTTTTACTCTGATTTTTATAGTGTGCGTTATAAAACATTAGAGAAGAACATGGATACATTTTCCCCAGGTTGATCTGTACTTGATTCCTCAAAACAGCAGTTTCTTGGCTCCTTTGCATATTGAAAAAGTATGAAGGCAATTACACATATATGAATACTGGCAAATCACATGGTCTGAATAGATTTTTAATTGACTGATATAAAGCATTGCCTAGTCTGTCTGTTCACAGCATCATCTTCATAATCATGTTCTTGAATCTAGCTCCCCTAATTGTTAAATTGTTAACAGTGATACCCAACCTGGCGGGGTTCACAATCACTTCACTAACTATTGACCTGTTTCATTAATTAATGTAGGGATTAAAATATCTACTTTCAACTACATTTCTGGCAGGTAGCAACAACTTACTGTAAAATATTATATTGTTTCAGGCAGATTTATTCAGCATAGATAGGGTGATAATTGTAAGTTTTTGATCTCATAAGTTTAAATATGGATAGAGGAGACCAGGCTGTCAATATTTCTTTGGATACTGAAAAGGGCTTTGACAAAATTCACTGGAAATCTATTTTTGCTATGTTGAGATATTTTCGCTTTCTGGTAGAATTTTTGAAATTGACCTCTTCTCAGCTTTCTTTTTATATTTTAGAGGTACCAGAAGAGGGATGCCCACATTCTTCATTGGTATTTGATTTATGTTCAAACCCCTGCATTTCTTGTTAGACAGGATAGTAATAGTCATGGCTTGTGTGTGATTGTTTAACTTTTAAGATCCTTTAAGGTGATTATCTTTTATTGTTTGTTTAAAAAGCTGCCGTCTTCTTGTCCAACTTCAATGCTGATGTTCAATATTTTTGATGAGTTATCTACTTAGTCAATTAATGGGTCAAAGTCTTATCTGATACCAATTGAAAATACTGTGACGTGGCAATCCATCATGGTTTAACTAGTCATAGTGAGTTGTTGTGTCTTAAGAACTTGGACTACCCCTTGCTAAATGACTTGATTTTCCCCAGTGAGTCACCCTGAAAATCGATGATTTGTTTTAGGGGTTGTTGAACTCACTGTGGGTTGTCATGTTGCTCAAACCTGGGTAATTGTCCCCATTATAGGTTGCAAGCAGCAATGAGTGAGCCACTTAGCAAGAGCAGCAAAACCCCTCTGCTGCTCCTGCTGAGTTTATCAGGGCTGTCTACTAGAGATCACCATAGTTACTCGAGTGCCCAAATGATATTTGAAGTGATCATCAGCCACTTGCTCTCCCCCTCTGTGATTGTCACCCCTTTTGTGGTTACTGTGGCTTTTTTGTCCTTATCCCCGGATCACTTTTTATGCTCTCTGAAATGATAGCCCTCCAATCTAGCAATTTGAGTGTTTAGTCTGTACAGGGAAATATGCAACCATTAAATTTGTATATATTTCCTTATATATATTTCTAGCTCACATTTGCTAGACTAGATGAAAGAAAAGCTCCCTTTCATTTGGCAGTGGTCAAAAAAAAAAAAGTGAAAAAAGAGGATGGTATGTAGATCTCCTGGAGTACACAGAGGCTTGGTAAAGTGTGTAAAAGATGGAGGGGCTAAGAATAGATGGGGAACATGGGCCACCTTGACATAGGTGTGTACCTGCACACCTATGAAAGACTACTATAAATTTTAAAAAACCTTATGAACAAAATTGCATGCATTTGTTCCAGCCAAATACTGTTAAAGGTTAAAGAACCAGTGGCAGTCACTCCAATGTGCTGCCTGGGCTTCAGTATTGCAGCTCCTGTGGCAGCACAGGTGAACTTGTCAAGAGTAGGATTTTTGCCTGAGTGACTTGCTCACCATTTCCTGTAACCTGCAGTGGCATCAGTCTCTTTAATGGTAAGACATCCCATCATGGGTTCAGCGATCCCTAGAACAAGCCATGGGTTGTCAGGTGGCTTTTTGTTCCCAGACAACCCATCCTGAAGAAAGTAACATAGGTTGCTGCATCATATGAACCCAACCTGTGTATAATTGCTAGAAGGTTGTAACAGTAAGTTTATTGTATTTAGCCATAGGCCATTAGGTAGAATTAGGTGTATGCATTTCAAACATACCCATGTAAATATGTTGTTACAGGGTTCAAGTGCCTGTGGGCATCAAAGTGGAAACTCCTTACAGATACCATGGGGTTTTTTGTTTGTTTGTTTGTTTGTTTTTGAAGTGTGGGAGAGGAGAGGTAAA